GTCTTTTTCCAATCCTGATGCTGAATTCTTCTTCATATAGTCCAGCTCCCCGGATTATTTGCTCAGCATACGGATTGAGTAAGTATAGTGAAAAGATACAACCCTGACACATACCTTTCCTGACTCTAAACCATGCAGTATCCCCTTGTTCTGTTTGAACAACTGCCTCTTAGTCTATGTACAGGTTCCTCATGAATTTCCATTCTTTGCAATGTTATCCATAATTTGTTATGACCCACACAATCGAATGCCTTTGCATATTCAATAAAACACAAGTAAACGTTTTCTGGTATTCTCTGATTTCAGCCAATATCCATCTGACATCAGCAATGATATCCCTTATTCCACGTGCTCCTCTGAATCTGACTGGAACTTCTGGCGGTTCTCTGTCGATGTGCTGCTGCAACCGGTTTTGAATGATCTTCAGCAAATTTTACTTGTGTGTGATATTATTGATACTGTTTATTTTCACATTCTGTTGAATCACTTTTCTTTGGTACAGGCACAAATATGGATCTCTTCCAGTTGGTTTGCCAGGAAGCTGTCTTCCAAATTTCCTGGCATAGATGAGTGAGCACCTCCAACATTGCACCCATTTGTTGAAACTTCTCAGTTGGTATTCTGTCAATTCCCGGAGCCTTGTTTTTTATCATTGCCTTCAGTGCAGGCTATAGCTGAGAGGTCCCTTAAATGCCAACTTGTCCAACCCACTCATTTGTGTGAAAAAAACAGAGCAGGTTAGAAGTGTTATAGGCAATAAAAAGACCACATGGCATATAGGTGCAAGAGGAAGACTAGAGGCCCAGGAGTCTTATCTCCACAATAGAACACTGAGTCTTCAAGGAGATGTGTGACTCTTATGCTCAGGATGAAGATTCTAGATATCACATGAGCCTTGATGATCAAAGCAATATCCAATTATCTTCTAGGGAAGGGTACTAGCACATTGTGGAAAGACTGTCATTAAGCAGTGTTTTCCAATTAACCCTCAGTTAATCAGAAAATGCCGTTAACTATAAGCTGAGCACTCCAGCCAACTGATTAATATTATTTGACCTAATTAAGGGCAAAGCTAGCCTGAGTTAGAGATTTTTCTGGTGGAGTTCAAATGACGGAATAACATGCGTTGTTTTCTCTCTTGTTATAAAAGCAGTTCATTTCCATGCTAGAAAGTTTGGAAAATACAAAAAGGTGCAAAGAAGAAATAAAAAATCAACCCAAATCCCACCGCATAGGGATGAACTATTTTCAAAAGTGATATCATTCAAAACAGACTGGAAGGAAATGCCCCCAAATAGTCAAATACATCTGTATTTCTGCTTTCACATTTACTATGTGACAGAACGGTGTTTCTCAGCCTTTGGCCACTTGTCTCCCTTTCTGATAAGTCATACTTCTTCCTTAATGTTATTTGCAGTATTTAATATTTAACAAATTAAATATCATGACTAAAAACTTATTACACCATCGTGATACTGAATAGGGCTTTTTTTCTAAACAACACATACTCTATTGACAAGCCCTCACCAAAAAGACCTGCGTGTATGTGCGAGAGCACACACACACACACACACACACACACACATACATCTGTGTTCAGCCACAGTGGACAGTCTTTACTTTAAAGGATTGGGACCATCCAACCCCTGAGTTTTACTTATGGAGCAAATAAGACCCAGAGATGGGAGGTGATGAGATCATGTGAAGCATCCTGTGATCTCCTCGTACTCTTATCCCAACATCCTTCCAAGATTTGTAGCCTGAGTATATGAAAAATGCTATTTTACTTAGGCCATATGTGAAATTAACTGCTGATTTTCCTAAGCTAGTAATTACTCACATGCATTGCCATAAACTTCTTTGTTCCCATAAATGTGTCAAACACGCCCTTGGCCACCATGTTTTATACTACTATAAAGTTTTAGGACCAGACAGGCCCTTAGAAATCAACTTATCCAAACTCTTCATTCAGCTAATGAATTTTAAAACTCAGGAAAATGATATGCTAAGATCACACCGTTCACTATATGGCTATCCAGCTATCCGGACCCCCAGGTTAGCACAATTTTCAAGACTTCACAAGACTTATAAAATATTGCTTGGTAAGCTCTTTCTCGGAACACAGGAGCCTGAGACATAAACTTAGCGTGTGTTAAGCTTTCCAAATGTGTGATGTCTGAGTCAATGGGTTTTCACTTCCCATAGTGAAACTGAACTTAGCATATAGCTGGGGCACACACTGCATGTGGGACAAAAAACAAAAACAAAAACTAGCGCATGTAACTCAGAGCCTGGCACGTAGTTGATGCTCCAAAGATATTTTGGGAAGGAAGGAGGAGAGGGAGAGAGAGGGGAAGTGAAAAGCAAAGAAAGAGATATTTGTTATAACAGCTGGCTACAGCTGGATGCAGACCTGCATGGGAAGGCAGCAGAATTCCTCCTGGGAAGTGAGCTGCTTTTTGGTTGAAGAGAACATCTTAATGAGTTTTTCCGTCTACTTTATTTTATTTTTTATTTGTAAAAGGTCAGGCCTAATGGTTAAGGTCTGAAACAAAAGAGACAAAAAAAGAAAAAAAAAAAGCTAAATTGTTCTGCAAAATAAAGTCAGAGGAATTTGGGAGTCCTTTTCCTGGCTGTTGGAAAAGGAGGAAGTTTTGAGGGTACAGAAAAGAATTTCTAAGAGGGCAATGGAGAGAGCTGCCAAAAGGGCAGGACCTTAGGAGGGCTTTCCAGGGATGTGAATGGCTGAGAACAACAGTGCTGTATTAAGGCACTTCCTGTACCTTTCTGCAAACTTCCTCTGTTCATCCCAAATCTCAGTAATAACCACTGTCTACGAATCCTTTACGTAAAGATGCTTTGAGGAGAAAAGAAAGGGATGTCCAGTGCAGGAGTAAGGAGAAGGTACAGAGAGAAGACAGCAGTCACTGAAGATGAAGCATTGAGTTGGAGGACTGAGAACCCAACAGAAGCATGAATATGGGTAAGAGGTGATCAGGAATAAAGATGCCTCCCAGAAATCATTAGCAGGAGAGATTTTCTGGGTTTTCCACAGTATAAGAGCTATTCTATCTTGATCTTGATATTGTCTTGATACTGAAGGGAGAAGTGGCTCCACATGGGTAGAAATTTGGAGGATAACTGAGTTATGAAAGGAAGAGAGAGAAAGAAGGAAGGAGAGAAAAAAGGAAGTATTAATCTTTTAGCATGGTGCTTCTCAAATATAATGTGCATACAAATCACCTAAAATTCTTAGTGAAATGTATGCTCTGATTTGGTAGGTCTGGGGTGGGGCCTGAAATGCTGCATTTCCAACAAGTTCGACCACACTTTGAGTAGCAAGACTTTAGCACACAAATAAGCCTCTGAGCCCATCAGGAAGTTTTCCCACTGGCTGGTCTCTTACCTCATATTCCTCCTTGAACCCATACCCCTGGCCCCTCTTCATCTGGGTGATGTGCTGCAGCAGGTCAGCCACCCGGATGGCAGGCTGGAACTGGTCCCGGGGGTAGCTCATCTCCATGGGGTCACAGGTCAGGTACGGGTGAGTCTGGATGGTGAGGGTAGGCTGGGACAGCTCTCCACGGCTGCCATCTGCTTCAAAGAGAAGAAGGTGGAACAGACCATCACCTCTGGGCTTTGTGCTTTGCCCTCCCTAGCTTGGCCTGAGGAGGGCAGAGGTAACTAACTTGGTAACTAACTGATTCAGGAAACTGCGAGGCTAGAGACACACTGCTCCCTTGGCATGGCTGTGCTGGTAGATTTAAAAACTGAAACAAACCAATGAACATAGTAACCCTTGATTCATTTCTATTTCAAGGGTGCATATTGATGGAGCAAAGACAAAGTTCCAGGTTGACTGTCACCCTCTGCATGCCTCAGTCCTTCCTCTAGGCTTATCAGGATGGTCTTGGCCAATCTGGCCAGTCCCAGAACCAGCAAGAAGCCAGACAGACTAGATATTGGGAGAACTCTCCTGTCTAGGGAATAGGGTGCCTGAAAATAGTCTCTACTGCCTGCCTGCAGGTGAAGAGAGCCTCAGGTCCCTGGAGATGAGAGCCATGTGTTTGCTTCTGGTCCATCTGCCTACTCCCCTGTGACCTGGTTTCTCTACCAGTTTGTTTCCTTTGGTTTGTACAGTGGGAGGAATTGGAGCTAGCCTTGGAGCTCCAGGTAGCAGGTAGCAGGGACTGTGACTCTCCCAGCCGCTTTCTCCAACTATGGGCTCTGCAACAGTGACTACCTTCTACCAGTTGTCTAGTTCTCCCCCAACTTGACACTGTTGATCCACAGGAGCATCACTCTGAACTCACTTTGCAGGTAGGGAAGCCTGAAACTCTCAACTTAGTCCTGCCAGATACTTCCTCCAGGCCTGGATTCTATGCCTCATGTCCTTCATAGAATCTCTTCTTGCTATAGTATCTATACTCTCCCCAATGGGAATTGTTGATACTCAATGAGTCGCTCTAACTGTCTTCTGTTAGTTTGGCCAACCTAGAAATTAATGCCTGTTCAGATGGGGTTTCAATTCCTTGGTTCCCCTTAGACCAGTAACACTAGTTTCTTGGTGTACCACCTCCCTGCCAGGCATACATTGTCAGTCTTTAGGGGCCAGTTTATTTTTCCGAGAACCATCTAGGCTTGGTTCTCTGCGCCCACAACCTCCTCCCAAAGGCACGGGCAGTCTACGCCCTGAACCATCCTGTCTAGGCGTGCACCAGATGAGAACCACCAGATTGATATGTCTCACTCAGATGTTTTCAGATACTGCAAGGCCTATGCCATACTCATTCCCTGGGAAGCTTAGCACATATTCCTGATTTTCTGCAACTTGTCTTTTCAAAATCCACATTCCCTTTAGCTTATTTGTCTCTCATATCACAATAATCCACCAGACATACTGGTAAATTCTGTATGTGAAAGTAAACTCTACTGCTATGTGACAGTAGGCAGCAAGACTGTTTCTAGTAAGGAAAGGATTGAGTTGCCATCAAGTTGATTCTGACTCATGGCAACCCCATATGTGTCAGAGTAGAACAATGCTCCATAGGGTTTTCAATGGCTAAGTTGTCAGAAGTAGATTTCCAGGTCTTTCTTTTTAGGTGCTTCTGGGTGGACTTTCGGTTAGCAGCTGAGCATTTAGCCATTTCCACCACCCAGGGATGCAAAGAAAAAGATAGTGGAAGGGAATGTCTGGGCTGTATGCTTTCTAGGGTGACCAACTCATTGCAGTTTGCCTGGCACTTTCCTGCTTTTAGCACTGAAAGTCCGACCTTTTGGGAACCTCATCAATCTTGGGCAAACTGGGATAATTGGTGACCCTCATGTTTTCACCTGTGTCTATGGAGTGGGACTTTCCTCATTTTTCCATCCTTCTGCCTGCCCTCACCTGTTAGCTCTTCCAAGGAGTTACTAGTCTGATTGGTTTAACTTGAGACACTGATTGGGTCACATCTTACTAGTGGTTGGGGTCACTGTATGGACAGTGTGACCTCTAACACTTCCTGATTCAATGTGGTAAGAAAACATATCAGGGCAGGGCCTGGCCCTTTGAGACCAGCTCAAGCACCCATGAATTGCCAACAGAATGACCTAGCGGATGTAGATGTATACCCCAAAACTTCCTGACTGCTTATAAGACAAACACTGCTTACTTTTTTGCCTGGGATTTTAGGTAACAGGTAGACACATCTTCACTGGCTTTGCTTAAATGTAGCACTTGGCTAATGTGGGGGCTGCTTCCCTTCTCCTTCACGTGATGTGATTATGAGTTTGACTTATTGAGAACCCACTATGTGTCAGAAACTTTGGTAGGCACTGGCAATGCAGACAGAAATACAGATTCTACCCTCATGGCTTGATACTCTAGTAGAGAAAACAGACAAGAAGGACCATCTGAAGCAAAAGAACAAAAGCTTGAGAGGCCAAAGCACATTTAGGTAAGAACAAGGAGATATGGAGCGAACGCTATACGTGGAAATGCAATGGAAGCAAAGTTACAAGATGCAATGTGAGACAGATCCAGAAAGACTGTGAAAGCATCGGAATCTTGAAGCTGGTGTGAAGCTGTTGAAGGATTTTAAGAAGATTCCCTTTCTTTAAAGATTCACACTATTTCTTATAGTTGTGCCAGGTGTCACGGATATGCAGTGTCCTTCTGGTGAATATCACTCCTGTGATGGAGTGGTAGGGTTGGTATGGAGAGGAAGGGAGCCCTTAGGTTTGCTTCTTTAGATTCTACATTTCATGAGCCCAAGGAGAGAATGAGTCAGAGTCAATGACCAGAGCCCTGGGAATGTTTCCCACCTAAACCACCATCTCATCTGGGACAGACATCTTCGGAGACTCATGGTCTTCCAACGGACCTGGGGCATGGGCTGCATGGGAGACAGGCTGCCTAGCAAAGGCAGGCTTCCTAGGAACGAGCACCTTGCAATTTTTTGTGAGATGCCAAATGTTTCCAAAACCAAATAGCTATCAATATGGATATTTTCCCTAAACACATTGCTGGACAGACTGTAAACTCGGCGTCAGCAAAATCAACACTGGAATGGAAAATAAATGCGTTTGCAATTTAACAACTTGTGTTGTAACATTTGTAATAATGTCAATGCCAGTGCTAATGATGCTATGAGGACTCAGAACCAAGGGATTTTCAAGGTTGATTAATTCAGGTAGTCAGACTCCCGTTTCCAATGTATCTTATCTCACCTATTCCCTTATTAACCTTTGATAATGCAGAAGTGATGCCTTTTATCACACCCCATTTCACCAGACGCACTATACTTAATTTTCCATTATTAAGTTTAATGAAAACCGAATTTCACAACTCACTTCTTTCAGGAATCTACAAGTAATGCTACGGTTTTATCAGCCCCAATTAAAAAACGTTATGATGTTCCTATTCGAGAGGGAGCCTTAAAACTAATGTGCGATTCTGCTGCTAATTCAACAAGGACGCTGGAACCCACATGCTGCTCATAAAATGTAACTCAAACCAGCTGGCCCAGGGAGGGAACATTTTTCTCCTCATCAGACCCTTAATTTTCATGCCATTTCAACTTCTTGTTTGTGGGTCTTGGTGTTTATTTAACACATACTAATATTTTGGATTTCTTTAGCATTTTTATGTAGCTGTTGCCCAAGCTTGTGAATTCCCCTGCAGTAATTCTTTTCACTGTCTGCGAGGGGCTTGTGGGGTGGGCAGAGGGATTTTGGTGACACGTACACGATCTGGAGTCACCACTGCCCCGCTCTGATTCCATCTTTTCTGACTCTCTACCATCTCCTCTTCCTTCTTCAGCTGCCTAAGTGTAGTCCTTCCTTGGAAACCTGTCTTTGACCTTCCCTCTGTCTCTCTCTCCTTTATTCCCTTGCTTCTAGACTTTAGAGACCTCCCTTTAACTCTAGCCACGTATTTCCAATCAATTGCTAGGAATTGTCACTCCAGCTGTTCAACAAATATTTTCTGAGTACCTATATTGTACAAAACACCGTGTTAGATATCATGTACATACAGGAAGGTGAAGAAGGTGTGTCTGGAGAAAGATAAGCACACCACAGCTCTTGCAGGTGGAGAGACAAGATAAGGTGTGCATGAACAAGTCTAACAAAGGTAGGAAGGGACTGGAGACATAGGAGACAGGCAGAAGATGTGCTGCAGAAGTAGGTACCACAGAAAGATTTCCAAAACTTTAGGCATTTGGGAACCACCTTTCTGGCTTGGGCTATAACTATGTACCATTTATATTAGCTCTGTCCAGTAGAACTTTCTGTGATGATGATGTTCTATATCTGTGCTGCCCAATACGGTAGCCATGTGGCTACTGAGCACATGAAATGTGACTAGCTTGACTGAGGAGCTGATTTTTTATTTTGTTGAATGTCAGTTTATTTAAATTTAAATAGCCACATGTGGTCATTGACTACTTTATTGGGCAGCACCAAAAAGCCAAACCAAACCCATTGCCGTTAAGTTAATTCCAACTCATAGCGACCCTATAGGACGGAGTAGAACTGCTCCATAGGGTTTCCAAGGAGCAGCAGGTGGATTCAAACTGCCAACCATCTGGTTAGCAGCCATAGCTCTTAACCACTGCACCACCAGGGCTCCACTGGGCAGCACAGATCTAGAGAAAGAAAGAGAGAAAGGGAGAGATCTCTGGAGTCACACAGTGGGGAAGGTCTGGAGCTTGCCATCCAGTATATAATGTGAGCCACATATGTAACTTAAAATTTTTCTCATAGCAACATTAAGTAAGAAAAAAAAAAATGGGTGAAATTAATTTCAATACTACATTTTATTTAACGTAATGTATTCATCTATTTCTGATATATATCAGCATCTATTTCTTGTTTCATCTATCACAATTCCTCTCACATCCATGTGCTCTTTAGGATAAGAGAGCAGGATGAGTAGGTAAATATTTAGACACTGCTTAGTGGGAGGGGAGAATGAGAGAGGAAGGAAGGTTTGAGGTGGGGATGTGGCTGAGTTACCTGCTCAGAGTGGAGTTAAGTTTGAGGTGTGATTAGAACAAACACTGTGGGCCTGTGCCAGCTGTGGGCATTAGGGTCAAAGCATAGAATCTGAAGAC